GCATTTAAAGGCTTCAGGGCAGTTTTAGGGGGTATTTGATGTCATCGGGGCAGTTTTGGGGGGGTATTTGTGTTGAGGGGGCACATAGGGGGATAATTACCCCCTGATTTTACCCGCCCCGCCTGATCCTGCTCTTTAAAGGTGTTTATTTTGGGGGTGATGGACAATTTTGGGGTGTGTTTAACCCCAAGGAGGGGCATTTGGGGGAGGGTATCTGACTCCAGGGGGGGTATTTGCCCCGGGGAGGGGGCACTTGGGGGGGGTATTTACCCCCTATTTTACCCCCAGGGCCTCATCCCATTCTTCTAAAGGGCCTTATTTTGGGGTTAGGGACAATTTTGGGGTTGTTTAACCCTGGGGGGGGGGGTGTCTTTGACCCCATGGGAGTATTTACCCCCGAGGGGGCACTTGGGGGGGTATTTACCCCCTATTTTACCCCCCCCAGGCCTGATCCTGCTCTTCTACCTGATCTTCTATGGGTTCCTGGCCGGGCTCTTTGCTCTCACCATGTGGGTGATGCTGCAGAGCGTCGACCCCCACGTCCCCAAGTACCAGGACCGGCTCGCCACCCCCGGTGCGCACGGAGGGGGGCCCTCGCACGAGGGTTTGTGCGAGGGATCCCTCGCATGAGGGACCTCGGGTGGGGACTGGTAATGGGGGGTGATGGGCGACCTCATCATCCCCAGTGTGCACTGGCCCCTTGCACGAGGGTTTGCACGAGGGGCCCCTTGCACGAGGGTTTGCACGAGGGACGCTTTGCACGAGGGACCTCAAATGGGGCCTCGTGGTGGGGAGTGTTGGAGGGGGGTGGTTGTGCAATGGGCAGCCTCACTGCCCCCAGTATGGCCCTCGCACGAGGGTTCACAAGGGCTTGCACGAGGGTCCTTACGTGGAACCTTGCACTGGGGGGCATTGCACAGGGGAGGGTGTGTAACGGGTGGCTTCCCTTGCCCCTAACACCCCCTTGCACGGGGGCTTGCACGAGGGCCCCCTGTTGCGTGTTGCACAGCTGTTGTGCATTGCATGGCTGTCACGTGTGAGGTGTGCAAGCCCAGTATAATCCTCGTGCAAGGGGGGGCTGTGCGATGCGCGGTCCTCGTGCACAGCCCATCTCTCCTTGTGTGCTCCTCATGCCAGGCGTGCGCGAGACTCGTGCGAGCCTGTTGCGTTCCCAGGGTGCTCCTTTTGCACGCTGCCTGCTTGTGTGATAGGTGTGCAAGGAGCATGCGAAGCATGGGGGGGTGGGAGTGGTGTGCACGAGGCGCACAAGCCCTCGTGCGAGGCACGCGGCCCCCGTGCAAGCAGCATGCACGGGGTTTGCAAGGCGCGTCCTCGTGCGAGGCGTGTCCTCGTGCGCAGGGATGATGATCCGCCCGCGCACGGAGGGGCTGGATGTCACCTTCAACGTCACCAAGAGCCAGACCTGGAGTCACTACGTCCGCGCCCTGCACCAGTTCCTCGAGCGTGAGTGTACTGGGAGGGGACTGGGGCAAACTGGGAGGGACCTGGGAGGGGACCAGAAGGTGCTGGGACAGACTGAGGTGGCACTGGAATGGACTGGGTTGTACTGGGAGGGCCCTTGTCTGTAGTGGGAGGCACTGGGATGACCATGGTCCATACTAGGATGGTCCTAGTCCTTACTGGGAGGTACTGGACAGCACTGGGGTCACCCTAGTCCATACTGGGAGAGACAGGGGGGGCCTGAGTCCATACTGGGAGGCACTGGGCAGCACTGGGAGGGCCCAAATCCATACTGGGAGGCACTGGGCAGCACTGGGAGGGCCCAAATCCATACTGGGAAGCCCCTGGCTGACATCAGGAGGCATTGGGCAGGCTCTAGTCAGTACTGGGCGGGCACTGGGGGGCACTGGTGCCGGTGCCGGTGCAAGCGGGTGCTGGGCGCAGCGTACAACGACAGCGTGCAGGCCGCCCGCAACGCCGCCTGCGTCCCCGGCCGCTACAACGAGCAGCCGGACGACAGCGTCCCCAACTACCCCAAACGCGCCTGTCGCTTCAACCGCTCCCTGCTGGGACCCTGCGCCGGGCTGGCGCCCGCTGACGACTACGGCTACGGCGTCGGCCAGCCCTGCGTCCTCCTCAAGGTCAACCGGGTGAGCTGGGGGCACTGGGAGGCACTGGGAGCACTGGGACGGTGCCTGTGGCATTGCATTGCATAGCGCTGGAGTGCATTGCATTGGACTGGGAGGCACTGGGAATCACTGGGAGGCACTGGGAGCACTGGGGACAGTGCCTGCGGCATTGCATTGCATAGCACTGGAGTGCATTGCATGGGACTGGGGGGACTGGGAGCACTGGGACAGTGCCTGCAGCATTGCATTGTGGTGCTTGGCAATGCATTGAATGGCACTGGGAGCACTGGGACAGTGTCTGCAGCACTGTATTGTGGTGCTTGGCAATGCATTGAATGGCACTGGGAGGCACTGGGAGCACTGGGACAGTGCCTGCGGCATTGCACTCCATAGCACTGGAGTGCATTGCATTGGACTGGGAGGCACTGGGAGCACTGGAGGCCCCCGGTGTGTTGCTTACTGCAGGGCCTTGCTTTGTGCTGTACTGGGCTGTACTGGAAGCACTGGGAGGCCCCGTTAACCCTTTGCCTCCCGCAGGTCATCAACTTCTTCCCGGGGAAGAACAAGAGCATCAATGTGATCTGTGCCGCAAAGGTGACACCAGTGTCACCCCCCGTGTCACCTCCAGTGTTCCCCATGTGTCACCTCCAGTGTCTCCAGTGTTCCCCATTTCCCCCATGTCACCTCCAGTGTCTCCCCAGTGTGCCCTCATGTCACCTCCAGTGTCCCCAGTGTCACCTGTATTGTCCCTGTCCCCCTGTACTTCCCCGTGTGTCCCCTGTGTCACCTCCCGTGTCTCCCATGTGTCCCTGGGTCGTCCCAGTGTCCCCAGGTCCCCCCATGACACCTCCAGTGTCCCCACATGTCCCCTGTGTCACCTCTAGTGTTCCTGTGTCCCCCCATATATCTCCATGTCTCCTCCAGTATGTCCCCAGTGTCCCCCTTTGTCACCACCAGTGTCCCCCATCTGTTCCCATGTCACCTATAGTGTCCCCCTTTGTCCCCCTGGTGTCATCTGTGTCCCCATGTCACCCCTTGTGCCCCATCTGTGTCCCCCCATGTCATCTTGGGTGTGTCCCCCAATGCCCCCCCCATCACATCAGTGTCCCCAAATGTCCTCAATGTCCCCCCTCACTCTCTCTTGTCTTTCCCCAGCGGCCCCGAGTGAAGGGTGACCTGGTAAGGGGGGGTGCCCCCCTGTAGCATCCCCCAAACCTGCTAGTTTTACCCCAAAATCTTGCTGGGTGCCCCAAAATAGGCTAGATTCACCCCAAAATGCTGCTGGGCGCCCCAAAATCTGCTAGTTTCACCCCAAAATCCTGCTGGATGTCCCAAAATAGATTCACCCCCAAAATCCTGCTAGATGCCCCAAAATCTGCTAGATTCACCCCAGAATCCCACTGGGTGCCAGAAAACACCCCAAATCCTGCTGGATACCCCAAAATGTGCTGGTTTCACCCCAAAACCTTGCTGCATGTCCCAAATTAGGTTAAAATCACCCCCAAATGCTGCTGGGTGCCCCAAAATCTGCTAGTTTCACCCCAAATCCTGCTGGGTGCTGCAAAAAAGGCTAGTTTCACCCCCAAAACCTGCTGGTTTTATCCCCAAATGTGCTAGATTCACCCAAAATCCTTCTAGGTGCTCCAAAATCTGCTGGTTTCACCCCAAAATCCTGCTACATGCCCCAAAATCTGCTGGATTCACCCCAAAGCCCTGCTTGGTGACAAAACCCACCCCAAATTCCTGCTGGGTGCCCCAAAATACCGCAAATCCCACTGAATGCCCCCAGATCTGGTAGCTTCACTCCAAAATCTTGCCAGGTGCCCCAAAATAGGTTAAATTCACCCACCAAATCCTTCTAGGAGTCCCCAAATCTGCTGATTTCACCCCCAAAATCCTGCTGGGTCCCCCCCAGTCCCTGCTGGGTGTCCCCAAAACTCACCGTGTCCCCAGCCTCACTGTGTCTCCTGATGTCCCCATCCTGTGTCCCCTGCTATGTCCCAGCTGTCCCCACTGTCTGTGTGCCACGTCCCCTGCTGTCCCCATGCCGTGTCTCCACTGTCCCCAGGTTGTCCCCATCCCATATCCTCTGTGTCCCCATGCTGTGTCACTGCTGTCCCTAATGTCCCTGCTGTCCTCGTCCCAGGTCCTTGCTGTCCCCAGTGTCCCCATGCCATGTCCCCAATGTCCCTGTCTTCTGTCCCCCATCCCCAATGTCCCCACCCCATGTCTCTGCAATGTCTCCATGCCATGTCCCCACTGTTCCCAACCTGTGACCCTGCTGTCCCCAATGTCCCCATGCCATGTCCCTACTGTCCCTATCATGCAACATTGCTGTCCCCAATGTCCCTGCTGTCCCCAGTGTCCCTGTCTTGTGTCCCCAATGTCCCCACGCCACATCCCTAGTGCTCCTGTCCCATGTCCCTGCTGTCCCAAACATCCCCACGCCATGTCCCTGCTGTCCCCATCACACAACATTGCTGTCCCCAATGTCCCCACGCCATGTCCCCACTGTCCCTAACCTGTGTCCCTGCTGTCTCCAATGTCCCCATGCCACGTCCCCACTGTCTCCACGCCATGTCCCCACTGTCCCCGTCCCGTGTCCCCCCCCGTGCCATTGACGTTCTCTCTTTCTCTGGCCGCGGGGCGCAGGGACAGACAGCTGCC